CGATTAGAACTCAGAGGAATCTAGTGGATTTGACTTGTTCCATTTCATTCCCACCAACTGAGAGTCTGGCTCTTTTTTTTAAGCAATATTTGTAATTCTTACTAGTGAATACAATAAAGTTGATGTTTCTTGTTTCTCTGAAACCATTCAAAAAATGAGTTGGCTTCATTAATTAGTATATAAAAATGGTGTGATAAAATCCAGTTGGTATCATCAGCAAAGAGAATGGGAAGTACAGTAGAAGACACAGCAGCAAGGTCATTGATATAGATTAGGAATAACAAAGGTCCAATTATCGAACCCTGTGGACCCACAGGATATCTTGGTCCTGGTAGATGCACAGCTATTTGCATAAACAAATGGTTCTGTATCATAAACATAACTACAGTGCATTCGGAAAGTATTCAGACCCCTTTACTTTTTTCACATTTTGGTACGTTACAGCCTTATTCTAAAATTGATTAAATTGTTTATTTTCCTCATCAATCTACAAACAATACCCCATAATGACAAAGCAAAAACAGGTTTTTAGAATTTTCTGCTAATTTATAAATAATTTAAAACTAAAATATCACATTTACATAAGTATTCAGACCCTTTACTCAGCACTTTGTTAAAGTATATTTGGCAGAGATTACAGCCTCAAGCGTTCTTGGGTATGACACTACAAGCTTGGCACACCTGTATTTGGGGAGTTTTTCCCATTCTTCTCTGCAGATCCTCCAGGTCTCTCCAGAGATGTTAGATCGGGTTCAAGACCGGGATCTGGCTGGGCCAATCAAGGACATTCAGAGACATGTCCCGAAGCCACTCCTGCGTTGTCTTGGCTGTGTGCTTAGGGTCGTTGTCCTGTTGGAAGGTGAACCTTCACCCCAGTCTGAGGTCCTGAGCACTCTGGAGCAGGTTTTCATCAAGGATCTCTCTGTACTTTGCTCCGTTCATCTTTCCCTCGATCCTGACTAGTCTCCCAGTCCCTGCCACTGAAAAACATCCCCATAGCATGATGCTGCCACCACCATGCTTCACCGTAGGGATGGTGCCAGGTTTCCTCCAGACGTGACACTTGGCATTCAGGCCAAAGAGTTCAATCTTGCTTTCATCAGACCAGAGAATCTTGTTTCTCATGGTCTGAGAGTCTTTAGGTGCCTTTTGGCAAACTCCAAGCGGGCTGTCATGTGCCTTTTACTGAGGAGTGGCTTCCGTCTGGCCACTCTACCATAAAGGCCTGATTGGTGGAGTGCTGCAGAGATGGTTGTTTTTCTGGAAGTTTCTCCCATCTCCACAGAGGAACTCTGGAGCTCTGTGAGAGTGGCCATCGGGTTCTTGGTCACCTCCCTGACCAAGACCCTTCTCCCCCGATTGCTCAGTTTGGCCGGGCAGCCAGCTCTAGGAAGAGTCTTGGTGGTTCCAAACTTCTGCCATTTAAGAATGATGGAGGCCACTGTGATCTTGGGGATCTTCAATGCTGCAGAAAATTTTTGGTACCCTTCCCCAGATCTGTGCCTCGACACAATCCTGTCTCTGAGCTCTACGGACAATTCCTTCGACCTCATGGCGTGGTTTTTGCTCTGACATGCACTGTCAACTGTGGGACCTTATATAGACAGGTGTGTGCCTTTCCAAATCATGTCCAATCAATTGAATTTACCACAGGTGGACTCCAATCAAGTTGTAGAAACATCTCAAGGATGATCAATGGAAACAGGATGCACCTGAGCTCAATTTCGAGTCTCATAGCAAATGATCTGAATACTTATGTAAATAAGGTATTTCAGTTTTTTATTTTTAATAAATTTGCAAAAATCTATAAAAACCCATTTTTGCTTTGTCCTTATCGGGTATTGTGTGTAGATTGATGAAGGGAAAAAATAATTTAATCAATTTTAGAATAAGGCTGTAACGTCACAAAATGTGGAAAAAGGGAAGTGCTCTTAATACTTTCCGAATGCACTGTATATAGTCAATTACATGTATAATTATGAAAACCGTAATAATGCAATTTGGAAAGTAATATTTCATGATCAACCCTATCAAACGCTTTGGATAAATCTACAAAGATGCCAAAACCGTTTCTTTTTTCTTTTTTTTGCAAAGATTTTATCCACAAGTTGCAAGAGCCATATCTGTGGAGAAGTTTTTATGAAAACCATATTGGTGCTCATATAGAATACAGTGTTGAAACCATATTGGTGCTCATATAGAACTCAGTGTTGAAACCATATTGGTGCTCATATAGAATACAGTGTTGAAACCATATTGGTGCTCATATAGAATACAGTGTTGAAACCATATTGGTGCTCATATAGAATACAGTGTTGAAACCATATTGGTGCTCATATAGAACTCAGTGTTGAAACCATATTGGTGCTCATATAGAATACAGTGTTGAAACCATATTGGTGATCATATAGAATACAGTGTTGAAACCATATTGGTGCTCATATAGAATACAGTGTTGAAACCATATTGGTGCTCATATAGAACTCAGTGTTGAAACCATATTGGTGCTCATATAGAATACAGTGTTGAAACCATATTGGTGCTCATATAGAATACAGTGTTGAAACCATATTGGTGCTCATATAGAATACAGTGTTGAAACCATATTGGTGCTCATATAGAACTCAGTGTTGAAACCATATTGGTGCTCATATAGAATACAGTGTTGAAACCATATTGGTGATCATATAGAATACAGTGTTGAAACCATATTGGTGCTCATATAGAATACAGTGTTGAAACCATATTGGTGCTCATATAGAATACAGTGTTGAAACCATATTGGTGCTCATATAGAATACAGTGTTGAAACCATATTGGTGCTCATATAGAACTCAGTGTTGAAACCATATTGGTGCTCATATAGAATACAGTGTTGAAACCATATTGGTGCTCATATAGAATACAGTGTTGAAACCATATTGGTGATCATATAGAATACAGTGTTGAAACCATATTGGTGCTCATATAGAACTCAGTGTTGAAACCATATTGGTGCTCATATAGAATACAGTGTTGAAACCATATTGGTGCTCATATAGAATACAGTGTTGAAACCATATTGGTGCTCATATAGAATACAGTGTTGAAACCATATTGGTGCTCATATAGAATACAGTGTTGAAACCATATTGGTGCTCATATAGAATACAGTGTTGAAACCATATTGGTGCTCATATAGAATACAGTGTTGGAACCATATTGGTGCTCATATAGAATACAGTGTTGAAACCATATTGGTGCTCATATAGAATACAGTGTTGAAACCATATTGGTGCTCATATAGAATACAGTGTTCAAACCATATTGGTGTTCATATAGAACACAGTGTTGATTGAAATGTTTCAACTTTCTCTTATATACCAATTCTTCTAGGATTTTAGTAAAACATGGAAGTACAGATATTGGGCGATAATTTGTAAAAGATCTTGGATCCCCAGATTTATAGAGGGGGATAACTTTGGCAAATTTCATATCTTTGGAACAATACCGGTTTGCATTGATTTGGTGAAGATATACATTAGAGGCTCGGTGATCGAGGAAGACACTGATTTCACCAAAGAGGCACCAATCACATCATAACCTGCTGCTGATACCTTTAAGTTACCAATGACCTCCATCACCTCCATCACATCAGGAGGATCAAACTGAAGCAGAGAAGGGAAATGTCCCTTAATAATAATCCAAGGGATTTCCATCAGTTCTCTCTATTTTATTTGACAGAGAGGATCCCACATTCACAAAATAAGTTATAAAATTCATATGAAATAACATCAGGATCCCTACAGGTCTTATTTCCAACAGTATATTGAGATGGATAGTTGGAGATGGGATAGTTGGAGATGGGATAGTTGGAGATGCCTTTCTCTTATTCAACAGTTGATTGATGATTTTCCAAGTTGACTTTACATTATTTAAGGATTCTTGGAATGTGTTAGTAAAATATATGTTTAGTAATTTGCTAAATTCAAGGGAGAGGAATTTGTGAGAAACGTTTCAAACAACTTGTTTTTTTTAACAGAGAATGTTTTGAGACTGGTTGTAAACAAGGTTTCCAGAACCTTCTGTTGCTCTCTGGTTTAACTAAGGGAAAGCAGTGGTGAAATACAGAGTTGAAAGATGTGAGAAAAATCTGGGAAGCAGGTTCCACATCAGCCTGATTATAAACACTTTACCATTAAATATCGTCAATCAACATCTTAAAGCGCTCACAAGTACTTTTGTTAAATATTCGACTAATCATTCCCATCTGTTCATTTCCAGCTGCCAAAGAGAAGTGGGAAATTGGAAAGTGGTCAGAAATGTCAGTATAAAGTATACCTGTGTTAGCTACATTGTTCAAATAATTAGTAAAAATATGATCAATAAGGCTGGCAGATGAACTGGTCACTCTAGTGGTCTTATAGATGAGGGGAAACAGATGGCTGCAGTATAATGTATTCAGAAAGTCAGATGTCAGTGATTGGTTCTCACTTTTAAATACAGGGATGGTTGAAGTCACCCAATAAAATGGGTTTTCCATCTTCATTATGAATCAAATCCAAGGTTGATGCAAGGATATCAATAAAACGACCAATGTCAGAATCGGGTGGCCAATAGATGCATCCAATTACCACGTCTTTCCCACCAGAAAAAGTTTCAAGGTGTTTACAGCTCTGTACTGCTGTACCATGAAAACCAAACCAACATCCATGTTCTTTTTTGAAATGTTAAGTGTTAATAACTGTGTATATCTCCACTAGAGAGATGGAGATGTGGTGTTCGAGGGCTTCCTGAATGTCTCCTGGGGAGTACGGCGGCCCATCAGGCTCAAAATACAGGATGACAAACAACAACCGATCACCAGCCTACTGTCACCTGACCCAGTCAGTCCAATCAGTCCTCATGGAGGCAAGAGGTTATTTTTCCCCTTTATCATATTGTCAATAACCACAGAGTCATAGTTCAAATGGAGTAATATAAGCAGCAGTCAGGCTAAACTCTCTCTGCCTATCAGGGGGATGACTCGATGGGGGGAGTTTGAAGACCTTCATCAGATCAACGAGATAGATGAGAACAACAAGCAGGATCCTGCAGAGGAGACCAACAACTACACTACAGGTAACCTCACCTTAACCACGCTACAGGTAACCTCACCTTAACCCCACTACAGGTAACCTCACCTTAATGTCACTATAACAACCACACTACAGGTAACCTCACCTTAACAACCACACTACAGGTAACCTCACCTTAACCACGCTACAGGTAACCTCACCTTAACAACACTACAGGTAACCTCACCTTAACAACACTACAGGTAACCTCACCTTAACAACACTACAGGTAACCTCACCTAAACTTCACTATAACCACATTACAGGTAACCTCACCATAACAACCACACTACAGGTAACCTCACCTTAACAACCCCACTACAGGTAACCTCACCTTAACCACGGTAAGAGGCAGGTTATAGGACTACATCATGACGGAGCAGTGACTGTCTGATGAGGAATGGGACCCGTCTTACCGCAGTCAGTGGTGTACTTCAAAGTACTACTTAAGTAGTTTTTTTTTTTGGTATCTGAACTTCACTATTTATATTTTGGACAACTTTTACTTCACTACATTCCTAAAGAAAATAATGTCCTTTCTACTCCATACATTTTCCCTGACGCCCGAAAGTACTAGTTACATTTTGAATGCTTAGCAGGACAGGAAAATGGTCCAATTCAGGCACGTATCGAGAGAACATCCCTGGTCATCCCTACTGCCTCTGGCCTGGCTGACTCACTAAACACACATACTTCATTTGTAAATTATGTCTGAGTGTTGCAGTGTGCCCCTGACTATCTGTCAATTTTAAAAATAAGAAAATCGTGCAGCCTGGTTTTCTTAGTATAAATCATTTCAAATTCCTTATATTTAACTTTAAATACATAAGTACATTTGATCAATTTAATTTACTTTTGATACTTAAGTATGTTTAAAACCAAATACCTTTAGACTTTTACTCAAGTAGCATTTTACTGGGTAATTCACTTTTACTCAAATCATTTTCTATTAACGTATCTTTACTTGTACTTAAGTATGACAACTGGGTATTTCTCCCCACCACTGGGGTCTATCTAGGTTATAGGACTACATCATGGTGGGACCGTAGTGATCTAGGTTATAGGACTACATCATGGTGGGACCGTAGTGATCTAGGTTATAGGACTACATCATGATGGGACCGTAGTGATCTAGGTTATAGGACTACATCATGGTGGGACCGTAGTGATCAAGGTTATAGGACTACATCATGGTGGGACCGTAGTGATCTAGGTTATAGGACTACATCATGATGGGACCGTAGTGATCTAGGTTATAGGACTACATCATGGTGGGACCGTAGTGATCTAGGTTATAGGACTACATCATGATGGGACCGTAGTGATCTAGGTTATAGGACTACATCATGGTGGGACCGTAGTGATCTAGGTTATAGGACTACATCATGGTGGGACCGTAGTGATCTAGGTTATAGGACTACATCATGATGGGACCGTAGTGATCTAGGTTATAGGACTACATCATGATGGGACCGTAGTGATCTAGGTTATAGGACTACATCATGGTGGGACCGTAGTGATCTAGGTTATAGGACTACATCATGGTGGGACCATAGTGATCTAGGTTATAGGACTACATCATGGTGGGACCGTAGTGATCTAGGTTATAGGACTACATCATGGTGGGACCGTAGTGATCTAGGTTATAGGACTACATCATGGTGGGACCGTAGTGATCTAGGTTATAGGACTACATCATGGTGGGACCGTAGTGATCTAGGTTATAGGACTACATCATGATGGGACCGTAGTGATCTAGGTTATAGGACTACATCATGATGGGACCGTAGTGATCTAGGTTATAGGACTACATCATGGTGGGACCGTAGTGATCTAGGTTATAGGACTACATCATGGTGGGACCGTAGTGATCTAGGTTATAGGACTACATCATGATGGGACCGTAGTGATCTAGGTTATAGGACTACATCATGGTGGGACCGTAGTGATCTAGGTTATAGGACTACATCATGATGGGACCGTAGTGATCTAGGTTATAGGACTACATCATGGTGGGACCGTAGTGATCTAGGTTATAGGACTACATCATGGTGGGACCGTAGTGATCTAGGTTATAGGACTACATCATGGTGGGACCGTAGTGATCTAGGTTATAGGACTACATCATGGTGGGACCGTAGTGATCTAGGTTATAGGACTACATCATGGTGGGACCGTAGTGATCTAGGTTATAGGACTACATCATGGTGGGACCGTAGTGATCTAGGTTATAGGACTACATCATGGTGGGACCGTAGTGATCTAGGTTATAGGACTACATCATGATGGGACCGTAGTGATCTAGGTTATAGGACTACATCATGATCAAAGAGGCAAGGAGGGGAAAGAGAGAGTTGGAAAGAAATGAAATCCAAGGCAGACGTCGGGAGGTTGAAGGCGCCAAAGTACGAATAGCGGTGAGCCATCGTCAGGAAATGAGCTTATCAAGGTGTCAAGCTCATTGGATGAACTCTCCAAGGGCACCTGGTGGGCGATAAATAACAATGTTAAGCTTGAGTGGACAAGTGACAGTGACATCATGGAATTCAAATGAGGAGGTGGACAGGTGAGGGAGGGAGAACAGAGAGCATCTCCACCTAGGAGGAATGAGCAGCCCTGTGCCATCACCACGACGACCAGATGCTCTCGGACTATGAGAGAAAACGTAGTCAGATGAAGAGAGAGCAGCTGGAGTAGCGGTGTTCTCTGGGGTGATCCATGTCTCCATCAGGGCCAAAAAAGTCAAGAGACTGAAGGGCAGCATAGGCTGAGATGAACTCTGTGATCTTGACCGCAGATCAGCAGTTCCAAACGCTGCCAGAGACCAGGAATTCCACATGGGTTGTGCGCGCAGGGTACACTAAACTACAAGGGTCCACTACATTAGAAGGGTACACTAAATTAGAAGGGTTGCAGCCAAGGGGTGGGGAGCGTCTGTAAAGCCTACAGGGAGAGGAGCAGCCAAGGGGTGGGGAGCAGCCAAGGGGTGGGGAGCAGCCAAGGGGTGGGGAGCATCTGTAAAGCCTACAGGGAGAGGAGCAGCCAAGGGGTGGGGAGCGTCTGTAAAGCCTACAGGGAGAGGAGCAGCCAAGGGGTGGGGAGCAGCCAAGGGGTGGGGAGCAGCCAAGGGGTGGGGAGCATCTGTAAAGCCTACAGGGAGAGGAGCAGCCAAGGGGTGGGGAGCGTCTGTAAAGCCTACAGGGAGAGGAGCAGCCAAGGGGTGGGGAGCGTCTGTAAAGCCTACAGGGAGAGGAGCAGCCAAGGGGTGGGGAGCATCTGTAAAGCCTACAGGGAGAGGAGCAGCCAAGGGGTGGGGAGCAGCCAAGGGGTGGGGAGCAGCCAAGGGGTGGGGAGCATCTGTAAAGCCTACAGGGAGAGGAGCAGCCAAGGGGTGGGGAGCATCTGTAAAGCCTACAGGGAGAGGAGCAGCCAAGGGGTGGGGAGCAGCCAAGGGGTGGGGAGCAGCCAAGGGGTGGGGAGCATCTGTAAAGCCTACAGGGAGAGGAGCAGCCAAGGGGTGGGGAGCGTCTGTAAAGCCTACAGGGAGAGGAGCAGCCAAGGGGTGGGGAGCATCTGTAAAGCCTACAGGGAGAGGAGCAGCCAAGGGGTGGGGAGCAGCCAAGGGGTGGGGAGCAGCCAAGGGGTGGGGAGCATCTGTAAAGCCTACAGGGAGAGGAGCAGCCAAGGGGTGGGGAGCATCTGTAAAGCCTACAGGGAGAGGAGCAGCCAAGGGGTGGGGAGCAGCCAAGGGGTGGGGAGCAGCCAAGGGGTGGGGAGCATCTGTAAAGCCTACAGGGAGAGGAGCAGCCAAGGGGTGGGGAGCATCTGTAAAGCCTACAGGGAGAGGAGCAGCCAAGGGGTGGGGAGCATCTGTAAAGCCTACAGGGAGAGGAGCAGCCAAGGGGTGGGGAGCAGCCAAGGGGTGGGGAGCATCTGTAAAGCCTACAGGGAGAGGAGCAGCCAAGGGGTGGGGAGCATCTGTAAAGCCTACAGGGAGAGGAGCAGCCAAGGGGTGGGGAGCATCTGTAAAGCCTACAGGGAGAGGAGCAGCCAAGGGGTGGGGAGCAGCCAAGGGGTGGGGAGCAGCCAAGGGGTGGGGAGCATCTGTAAAGCCTACAGGGAGAGGAGCAGCCAAGGGGTGGGGAGCAGCCAAGGGGTGGGGAGCGTCTGTAAAGCCTACAGGGAGAGGAGCAGCCAAGGGGTGGGGAGCAGCCAAGGGGTGAGGAGCATCTGTAAAGCCTACAGGGAGAGGAGCAGCCAAGGGGTGGGGAGCATCTGTAAAGCCTACAGGGAGAGGAGCCAACAGGTATAAAAAACACACACAGAGTTGACAAAGCAACAAAATAGTAAAATTAGATAATCTGTAAATAACTAGGTAAAATACTCAAGTGAGAGAGTGGTGTTGAGCCTCCCTCTCTTTCCTTCCTTCCTCGAATAACCTCGCAGAACAACTTGGCAGAACCGTCTTAGTTTTGTGACAAAACCGCCACTGACACATCTACCGCTGAGAAACCAGGGGAGACTGAAGAACGAACTCTAATTGCCTAGCTGAGGTGGAAAGCACATCTCCCTGTACTAATTGCTGATTGCCTTGGAGAGGAGAAACCACTCCCCCCCCAATACAGCCACTGATTACCAAAACATGTCACAAATTGCCCCGCCCCTTGATCCTGGTTGAAGTGTCAACAACTATTTACATTTTAGTCATTTAGCAGACGCTCTTATCCAAACGTACACACTTAGTGAGTGCATACGTTTTTTTTTTTCTTCCCATACTGGCCCCCCGTGGGAATCGAACACACAACCCTGGCGTTGCAAGCGCCATGCTCTACCAACTGAGCTACACTTTTCTATCTGCAAGTTATGAGCAGTCAGCAGTTCACACATCAAGTAGACCACTGGGAAGACAGGAAGCACTTAAAGTACATGGCCCTGGATAGCAACAAGACAGCACTAGACCACAACAGATAAACCTTATCACTCCTGGAGATATCAGGAGTCCTCTAGCTATGGAATCACTCCTGGAGATATCAGGAGTCCTCTAGCTATGGAATCACTCCTGGAGATATCAGGAGTCCTCTAGCTATGGAATGAAGCACATTGAGATGGAGCCTGAGAAGCTGGTTATATACACTCAGAAAAGAGATGAAACCACCCCCCCTCCAATACATTCACTGATTACCAAAACAAGTATTATGGGGTATTATGGGGTATTATGGGGTATTATGGGGTATTGTGTGTAGATGGGTGAATAAAAATATGTTTCATCCATTTTGAATTCAGGCTGTAACAACAAAATGTGGAATAAGTGAAGGGCTATGAATACTTTCTGAAGGCACCGCATTTATTGAAAGGATATAGCATGTAGGAATAGGCTAATTACTCTGAATTTCATTTGTATACTGTCCTGCTGTATACTGTCCTACTGTCCTACTGTGTACTGTCCTACTGTGTACTGTCCTACTGTCCTGCTGTGTACTGTCCTACTGTCCTACTGTGTACTGTCCTGCTGTGTACTGTCCTACTGTGTACTGTCCTGCTGTGTACTGTCCTACTGTCCTACTGTGTACTGTTCTGCTGTGTACTGTCCGACTGTATACTGTCCTGCTGTGTACTGTCCTGCTGTGTACTGTCCTACTGTCCTACTGTGTACTGTCCTGCTGTGTACTGTCCTGCTGTGTACTGTCCTACTGTCCTACTGTGTACTGTCCTGCTGTGTACTGTCCTACTGTCCTACTGTGTACTGTCCTGCTGTGTACTGTCCTACTGTCCTGCTGTATACTGTCCTGCTGTGTACTGTCCTACTGTGTACTGTCCGACTGTATACTGTCCTGCTGTATACTGTCCTACTGTGTACTGTCCTGCTGTGTACTGTCCTACTGTGTACTGTCCTGCTGTGTACTGTCCTGCCGTGTACTGTCCTGCTGTGTACTGTCCTACTGTGTACTGTCCTGCTGTGTACTGTCCTACTGTGTACTGTCCTGCTGTGTACTGTCCTGCCGTGTCCTGTCCTGCTGTGTACTGTCCTGCTGTGTACTGTCCTGCTGTGTACTGTCCTACTGTGTACTGTCCTAATGTGTGCTGTCCTACTGTGTACTGTCCTACTGTGTACTGTCCTGCTGTGTACTGTCCTGCTGTGTCCTGTCCTGCTGTGTACTGTCCTGCTGTGTACTGTCCTACTGTGTACTGTCCTAATGTGTGCTGTCCTACTGTGTACTGTCCTACTGTGTACTGTCCTGATGTGTACTGTCCTGCTGTGTCCTGTCCTGCTGTGTACTGTCCTGCTGTGTACTGTCCTGCTGTGTACTGTTCTGCTGTGTACTGTCCTGCTGTGTACTGTCCTACTGTGTACTGTCCTAATGTGTGCTGTCCTACTGTGTACTGTCCTACTGTGTACTGTCCTGCTGTGTACTGTCCTGCTGTGTCCTGTCCTGCTGTGTACTGTCCTTCTGTGTACTGTCCTACTGTGTACTGTCCTGCTGTGTACTGTCCTGTTGTGTACTGTCCTGCTGTGTACTGTCCTGCTGTGTACTGTGTACTGTCCTACTGTGTACTGTCCTAATGTGTGCTGTCCTACTGTGTACTGTCCTACTGTGTACTGTCCTGCTGTGTAATGTCCTGCTGTGTCCTGTCCTGTTGTGTACTGTCCTGATGTGTACTGTCCTGCTGTGTACTGTCCTACTGTGTACTGTCCTGCTGTGTACTGTCCTGCTGTGTCCTGTCCTGCTGTGTCCTGTCCTGCTGTGTCCTGTCCTGCTGTCCTACTGTGTACTGTCCTACTGTGTACTGTCCTGCTGTGTAATGTCCTGCTGTGTCCTGTCCTGTTGTGTACTGTCCTGATGTGTACTGTCCTGCTGTGTACTGTCCTACTGTGTCCTGTCCTGCTGTGTACTGTCCTGCTGTGTCCTGTCCTACTGTGTACTGTCCTGCTGTGTACTGTCCTGCTGTGTCCTGTCCTGTTGTGTACTGTCCTGCTGTGTACTGTCCTGCTGTGTACTGTCCTACTGTGTACTGTCCTGCTGTGTACTGTCCTGCTGTGGACTGTCCTGCTGTGTACTGTCCTGTTGTGTACTGTCCTGCTGCGTACTGTCCTGCTGTGTACTGTCCTGCTGTATACTGTCCTGCTGTGTACCGTCCTGCTGTGTACTGTCCTGCTGTGTACTGTCCTGCTGTGTACTGTGTACTGTCCTACTGTGTACTGTCTTGCTGTGTACTGTCCTACTGTCCTGCTGTCCTGCTGTGTACTGTCCTACTGTCCTGCTGTGTACTGTCATGCTGTGTACTGTCCTACTGTGTACTGTCCTACTGTCCTGCTGTGTACTGTCCTGCTGTGTACTGTCCTACTGTGTACTGTCCTGCTGTGTACTGTGTACTGTCCTACTGTGTACTGTCCTACTGTCCTGCTGTGTACTGTCCTACTGTGTACTGTCCTACTGTCCTGCTGTGTACTGTCCTACTGTGTACTGTCCTACTGTGTACTGTCCTACTGTCCTGCTGTGTACTGTCCTGCTGTGTACTGTCCTACTGTGTACTGTCCTACTGTCCTGCTGTGTACTGTCCTACTGTGTACTGTCCTACTGCGTACTGTCCTACTGTGTACTGTCCTGCTGTGTACTGTCCTGCTGTGTACTGTGTACTGTCCTGCTGTGTACTGTCTTGCTGTGTACTGTGTACTGTCCTGCTGTGTACTGTCCTGCTGTGTACTGTCCTGCTGTGTACTGTCCTGCTGTGTACTGTCCTACTGTGTACTGTCCTACTGTGTACTGTCCTGCTGTGTACTGTCCTACTGTGTACTGTCCTACTGTGTACTGTCCTACTGTCCTGCTGTGTACTGTCCTACTGTGTACTGTCCTACTGTGTACTGTCCTACTGTCCTGCTGTGTACTGTCCTACTGTGTACTGTCCTACTGTGTACTGTCCTACTGTCCTGCTGTGTACTGTCCTACTGTGTACTGTCCTACTGTGTACTGTCCTACTGTCCTGCTGTGTACTGTCCTACTGTGTACTGTCCTACTGCGTACTGTCCTACTGTGTACTGTCCTGCTGTGTACTGTCCTGCTGTGTACTGTGTACTGTCCTGCTGTGTACTGTCCTGCTGTGTACTGTCCTACTGTGTACTGTCCTACTGTCCTGCTGTGTACTGTCCTGCTGTGTACTGTCCTACTGTCCTGCTGTGTACTGTCCTGCTGTGTACTGTCCTACTGTCCTGCTGTATACTGTCCTACTGTGTAATGTCCTACTGTCCTGCTGTGTACTGTCATGCTGTGTGCTGTCCTACTGTCCTGCTGTGTACTGTCCTGCTGTGTACTGTCCTGCTGTGTACTGTCCTACTGTGTACTGTCCTACTGTGTACTGTCCTACTGTCCTGCTGTGTACTGTCCTACTGTGTACTGTCCTACTGTGTACTGTCCTACTGTGTACTGTCCTGCTGTATACTGTCCTACTGTGTTCTGTCCTGCTGTGTACTGTCCTGCTGTGTACTGTCCTGCTGTGTACTGTCCTGCTGTGTACTGTCCTGCTGTATACTGTCCTACTGTGTACTGTTCTACTGTCCTACTGTGTACTGTCCTGCTGTGTACTGTCCTACTGTGTACTGTCCTACTGTGTACTGTCCTACTGTGTACTGTCCTGCTGTACACTGTCCTGCTGTGTACTGTCCTGCTGTGTACTGTCCTGCTGTGTACTGTCCTGCTGTGTACTGTCCTACTGTCCTGCTGTGTACTGTCCTGCTGTGTACTGTCCTACTGTGTACTGTCCTACTGTCCTGCTGTGTACTGTCCTGCTGTGTACTGTCCTACTGTGTACTGTCCTACTGTCCTGCTGTGTACTGTCCTGCTGTGTACTGTCCTACTGTCCTGCTGTGTACTGTCCTGCTGTGTACTGTCCTACTGTCCTGCTGTATACTGTCCTACTGTGTAATGTCCTACTGTCCTGCTGTGTACTGTCATGCTGTGTGCTGTCCTACTGTCCTGCTGTGTACTGTCCTACTGTGTACTGTCCTACTGTGTACTGTCCTACTGTCCTGCTGTGTACTGTCCTACTGTGTACTGTCCTACTGTGTACTGTCCTACTGTGTACTGTCCTGCTGTATACTGTCCTACTGTGTGCTGTCCTGCTGTGTACTGTCCTGCTGTGTACTGTCCTACTGTGTACTGTCCTGCTGTATACTGTCCTACTGTGTACTGTCCTACTGTACTACTGTGTACTGTCCTACTGTGTACTGTCCTGCTGTGTACTGTCCTGCTGTGTACTGTCCTACTGTGTAATGTCCTTCTGTGTACTGTCCTACTGTGTACTGTCCTTCTGTGTACTGTCCTACTGTCCTGCTGTGTACTGTCCTACTGTGTACTGTCCTGCTGTGTACTGTCCTACTGTGTACTGTCCTTCTGTGTACTGTCCTACTGTCCTGCTGTGTACTGTCCTACTGTGTACTGTCCTGCTGTGGACTGTACTGCTGTGTACTGTCATACTGTGTACTGTCCTAATGTGTGCTGTCCTACTGTGTACTGTCCTGCTGTGTACTGTCCTGCTGTGTACTGTCCTGCTGTGTACTGTCCTGCTGTGTACTGTCCTACTGTATACTGTCCTACTATGTACTACTGTGTACTGTCCTACTGTATACTGTCCTACTATGTACTATTGTGTACTGTCCTGCTGTTTACTGTCCTGCTGTGTACTGTCCTGCTGTGTACTGTCCTACTGTATACTGTCCTACTATGTACTACTGTGTACTGTTCTGCTGTGTACTGTCCTGCTGTGTACTGTCCTTCTGTGTACTGTCCTACTGTGTACTGTCCTGCTGTGTACTGTCCTGCTGTGTACTGTCCTGCTGTGTACTGTCCTGCTGTGTACTGTCCTACTGGCCTGCTGTGTACTGTCCTACTGGCCTGCTGTGTACTGTCCTGCTGTGTACTGTCCTACTGTCCTGCTGTGGACTGTCCTGCTGTGTACTGTCCTGTTGTGTACTGTCCTGCTGTGTACTGTCCTGCTGTATACTGTCCTGCTGTGTACTGTCCTGCTGTGTACTGTCCTGCTGTGGACTGTCCTGCTGTGGACTGTCCTGCAGTAAACTGTCCTGCTCTGTACTGTCCTACTGTGCACTGTCCTGCTGTGGACTGTCATGCTGTGTACTGTCCTACTGTGTACTGTCCTGATGTGTACTGTCCTGCTGTGTACTGTCCTACTGTACTGCTGTGTACTGTCCTACTGTCCTGCTGTGTACTGTCCTGCTGTGTACTGTCCTACTGTGTACTGTCCTACTGTCCTGCTGTGTACTGTCCTGCTGTGTACTGTCCTACTGTCCTGCTGTGTACTGTCCTGCTGTGTACTGTCCTACTGTCCTGCTGTATACTGTCCTACTGTTTACTGTCCTACTCTTCTGCTGTGTACTGTCATGCTGTGTACTGTCCTACTGTCCTGCTGTGTACTGTCCTGCTGTGTACTGTCCTGCTGTTTACTGTCCTGCTGTGTACTGTCCTACTGTGTACTGTCCTTCTGTCCTGCTGTGTACTGTCCTACTGTGTACTGTCCTAATGTGTACTGTCCTGCTGTGTACTGTCCTGCTGTGTACTGTCCTGCTGTATACTGTCCTACTGTGTACTGTCCTACTGTCCTGCTGTGTACTGTCCTGCTGTGTACTGTCCTACTGTGTACTGTCCTACTGTGTACTGTCCTACTGTGTACTGTCCTGCTGTATACTGTCCTACTGTGTACTGTCCTGCTGCGTACTGTCCTGCTGTATACTGTCCTACTGTGTACTGTCCTGCTGTGTACTGTCCTGCTGTGTACTGTCCTGCTGTATACTTTCCTACTGTGTACCATCCTACTGTCCTGCTGTGTACTGTCCTGCTGTGTACTGTCCTACTGTGTACTGTCCTACTGTCCTGCTGTGTACTGTCCTGCTGTGTACTGGCCTACTGTGTACTGTCCATATGTGTACTGTCCTACTGTCCTGCTGTGTGCTGTCCTACTGTGTACTGTCATACTGTCCTGATGTGTACTGTCCTTCTGTGTACTGTCCTACTGTGTACTGTCCTTCTGTGTACTGTCCTACTGTCCTGCTGTGTACTGTCCTGCTGTGTACTGTCCTACTGTGTAATGTCCTGATGTGTACTGTCCTTCTGTATACTGTCCTACTGTCCTGCTGTGTACTGTCCTACTGTGTACTGTCCTACTGTCCTGCTGTGTAATGTCCTGCTGTGTACTGTCCTTCTGTGTACTGTCCTACTGTCCTGCTGTGTACTGTCCTGCTGTGGACTGTCCTGCTGTGTACTATCCTGCTTTGTACTGTCCTGCTGTGTACTGTCCTGCTGTGCACTGTCCTACTGTGTACTGTCCTGCTGTGGACTGTCCTGCTGTGTACTGTCCTGCTGTGTACTGTCCTACTGTGGACTGTCCTGCTGTGTACTGTCCTACTGTGTACTGTCCTGCTGTATACTGTCCTACTGTGTACTGTCCTACTGTGTACTGTCCTACTGTCCTGCTGTGTACTGTCCTGCTGTGTACTGTTCTACTGTGTACTGTCCTACTGTCCTTCTGTGTACTGTCCTGCTGTATACTGTCCTGCTGTGTACTGATCTACTGTGTACTGTCCTACTGATCTTCTGTGTACTGTCCTGCTGTATACTGTCCTGCTGTGTACTGTCCTACTGTGTACTGTCCTACTGTGTACTGTCCTACTGTCCTTCTGTGTACTGTCCTGCTGTGTACTGTCCTACTGTGTACTGTCCTACTGTGTACTGTCCTACTGTCCTGCTGTGTACTGTTCTACTGTGTACTGTCCTACTGTGTACTTTCCTGCTGTATACTGTCCTGCTGTGTACTGTCCTACTGTCCTGCTGTGTACTTTCCTGCTGTGTACTGTCCTAATGTGTACTGTCCTACTGTGTACTGTCCTACTGTGTACTGTCTGCTGTGTACTGTCCTACTGTGTACTGTCTGCTGTGTAATGTCCTTCTGTGTACTGTCCTACTGTGTACTGTCCTGCTGTCCTGCTGTGTACTGTCCTACTGTCCTGCTGTGTACTGTCCTGCTGTGTACTGTCCTACTGTCCTGCTGTGTACTGTCCTACTGTGTACTGTTCTTCTGTGTACTGTCCTGCTGTGTACTGTCCTACTGTCCTGCTGTGTACTGTCCTACTGTCCTGCTGTGTACTGTCCTACTGTCCTTCTGTGTACTGTCCTACTGTGTACTGTCCTACTGTCCTGCTGTGTACTGTCCTACTCTGTACTGTCCTTCTGTGTACTGTCCTACTGTCCTGCTGTGGACTGTCCTGCTGTGAACTGTCCTGCTGTGTACTGTTTTCTGTGTACTGTCCTACTGTGTACTGTCCTGCTGTGTACTGTCCTACTGTGTACTGTCCTACTGTCCTGCTGTGTACTGTCCTGCTGTGGACTGTCCTGCTGTGTGCTGTCCTGCTGTGTACTGTCCTGCTGTGTACTGTCCTACGGTGTACTGTCCTACTGTGTACTGTCCTACTGTCCTGCTGTGTACTGTCCTGCTGTGTGCTGTCCTACTGTGTACTGTCCTACTGTGTACTGTCCTGCTGTGTACTGTCCTACTGTGTACTGTCCTACTGTGTACTGTCCTGCTGTGTACTGTCCTACTGTGTACTGTCCTGCTGTATACTCTCCTACTGTGTACTTGGGTTCCTGTCCCTGCTGTGTACTGGTCCTGCTGTGTACTGTCCTGTCCTGCTGTGTACTGCCCTGCTGTCCTGCTGTGTACTGTCCTGCTGTGTACTGTCCTGCTGTCCTGCTGTGTACTGTCCTGCTGTCCTGCTGTGTACTGTCCTGCTGTGTACTGTCCTGCTGTGTACTGTCCTGCTGTGTACTGTCCTGCTGTCCTGTTGTGTACTGTCCTGCTGTGTACTGTCCTGCTGTGTACTCTCCTACTGTGTACTGTCCTGCTGTGTACTGTCCTGCTGTATACTGTCCTGCTGCGTACTTTCCTACTGTGTACTATCCTACTGTCCTACTGTGTACTGTCCTGCTGTGTACTGTCCTGCTGTGTACTCTCCTACTGTGTACTGTCCTACTGTCCTACTGTGTACTGTCCTGCTGTGTACTCTCCTACTGTGTACTGTCCTGCTGTGTACTGTCCTGCTGTGCGCTGTCCTGCTGTATACTCTCCTGCTTTGTAATGTCCTGCTGTGTGCTGTGAGACAAGTCATGTTCAAACAGGCTAAACCGTCGTCTGTCACAATGTCGTCACCATTGATGATGGCTATCAATCATTGTGGACAGGCGACTCTATGGTAATATCGCCCTACTCTACTGTCCAGGGAGCTACAGGAGTTATGAGAGTACTACACTGCGTCCCACCCCCACCAAGCAGAAGACGGCGGTGGAGGAGGAGCAGTCCAACCTGATCCGCTGCATGAGTGATGCTTCCCTGGTGAAGAGGAGGGTGAAGAGGAGTCCCTCACAGAGAGAGAGGAACAGGAAACATTGCTTCTCCATCAATGGACACTTCTACAACTACAAGGTAACATCAATGAGAGAACTGACCTGATCATTACTTACCTAGGACATGATTTGATCCATCAAATCACATTGGACTTCAATGAAAGTGATGTCCTTAAAATAATCATGTTTTTGGTGTAATAGCTACTGTCTCATAGTTAGTCAGTCCCTCTTCCTCTCTCTCTATCTCTCTCTATCGCTATCATCTCTTCTCTCTCTCCTGTCTATCTCTCTCGTGCGGTACTCGTGGTTTCTCATCTCCTGCGCTCTCTATCGAGAGACGCTCGCAGCAGCGAAGCTGCCCCCGCGCGCGAGCGGCGCGCTCTGGCGCTCGCTAGCGCTCGCGCGAGCGGCGCGCGCGCGCGAGCGCGCGGGGGCGCTTGAGGTGAGAGGGCAGGGGCGCGCGGAGCGCGAGGAGAGCGCGCGCGCGCGCGAGTCGACGGGCGGCGCGCGGGCGCGCGGGGTCGCGGGGCGGAGCGCGCGCGAGCGAGGAGAAGGAGATGTGGGGAGATGAGAGAGAGACGCAGAAGAGACGACGAGAGAGATGAAAGAGAGAGAGAGAGAGAGAGGCGAGGGACGCGCGAGAGAGCGCGCGCGAGGAGAGAGAGAGAGAGCGAGGAGAGCGAGCGCGAGATAGAGCGCGAGCGAGCGCGAGCGAGGAGGCGCCGCAGTAGCGCGCGATCGCGAGCGCGTAGCGCTCGGGGGCAGGCGTGAGAGAGGCCTGTCGCTCTCTCTCTCTATATCTCGCTGCCTCTCTCTCTATATCGCTAGCTATAGCTCTGTCTCTCTAGGCGCTAGATCGCGCGATAGCTAGCGCGAGAGATAGAGAATGCGTTGGGGGGGAGACGGGCGAGGGAATGGGGCGAGAGAAAACGAAAGCGCGCGCGAGATAGCGCAGCGCGCGAGACGAGAGCGAGGAGATCGCGCGACGGCGAGAGCTGCTAGCGCGAGCGCATACTATCGCCTCTCTCTAGCTCTCTCGCTCTCTCTTCTCTCGTCTCCTCCTCTCTAGTATATCTTCTCTCTCTTCATCTTCTCTCTCTCTTTTTCTCTTTCTTGCCGGTCTCTCTCTCTCTCTCTCTCTCTCTCTCTCTCTCTCTCTCTTCCTACTCGTCTCTGTCTCTCTCTCTCTATCTCAGTGCTCTGGAGTGTTTGAGTTGAGGAGGTAGTGTGGAGGCTGTTTCCTAACTTAGTTTCTTGATTCTTTCCTGTCTTTCTTTCAATGTTTATTTTCTATGGTGGAGGGTTAATGCACTGTTGTTTAGTGGTACCCACTGTTTTTGTTCAATGTTAGGGAGGAAGAGGACAGAGTTTAAGTTTCCTGGGGTTTGAACGGTGTGGTGTGTGCGATGGCTTCGCAGCCTAGTGCGGAGGAGACGCTGTCGTTACGGCGTGGTCCTCTGTAGCTCAATTGGTAGAGCATGGCGCTTGTAACGCCAGGGTAGTGGGTTCGATCCCCGGGACCACCCATACGTAAAAATGTATGCACACATGACTGTAAGTCGCTTTGGATAAAAGCGTCTGCTAAAATGGCATATTATTATTATTATTATTATGGTTTCAGGTGTGTTCCTGAGATTGGAGTTAGGTGGAGGAATGTATACATTCTGCATCCAGAATGAACAAAGCTGTGGTTGTGTTCATGAAATAGAAATTTAGTGGCTAGACTGATTGCTAGTGGAATATTTGTAAGGGATGTGTTGGTGCCAATTTCTCCTCTTTCGACAAGGGTGGTAGTTGCGAATCTGCCTCCATTTATTACGGAAGATCAAATCCGAAAAGAGCTGGGTAGTTTTGGTAAGTTTGCTACCGGTTGCCGTGTACTGTCGGTAGGTTTTCATGCAGATGCCGTTAAGCATGTTGTTTCGTTCCGGAGGCAAGTGTTCATGTATCTGAATAACAATGAGCAACAGTTAAATGGGCATTTTAAAGTGAGGCATGGGGAGGGGCTCTACGCAGGGTTTGCCAGCACAGATAGTCTACGGTGCTTTGAATGTGGGGATTTGGGGCATAAGAGCTTTGCGTGCCCACATAAAGGCCGTAGACAAGGTGAGGGATCAAGCACCAGTGGGGGAAATCGAGGTCAACGTGCAGGAGGCCATGAGACGCAGGCAGCAGAGGCTGGATGGTGGTGTAGATGAGACTGGGCCTAGTCATGTCATGGATGGTGGTGTAGATGAGACTGGGTCTAGTCATGTCATGGATGGTGGTGTAGATGAGACTGGGTCTAGTCATGTCATGGATGGGGTGTAGATGAGACTGGGGTCTAGTCATGTCATGGATGGTGTTGTTGTAGATGAGGCGGGTATAGTCATGCTATAGATGGTGGTGTAGATGGGGCTGGGTCTAGTCATGCTATAGATGGTGGTGTAGATGAGGCTGGGTCTAGTCATGTCATGGATGGTGGTGTAGATGAGACTGGGTCTAGTCATGTCATGGATGGTGGTGTAGATTAGACTGGGTCTAGTGATGGAGGTAGAGCTGGTGGGGCAAGGCAATGTAGGCCTCCAGGCTAATTTAGCTGAACTACGTAGGGACCTGGACAGTTTCTTCCAGGTTAAAGCAAAGGCGAGCATTTGTAAGAGCTAGTTCTCCATGCTCAAGGAGATGGATGCTCCCAGCTCCTTCTTCTTTGGTTTGGAAAGGACAGAGCGGTTGATGAGCCAAGGGTATGCATTGTCTACGGCTGTCAGATGGGCGGGTGACCTCTGTGGTGGGGGAGATGCGGGAGCAGACCGTGGAGTTTTATACTGAGTTGTATAGGGCAGAACTGTGTGATCCTATGTATGCTCAGGTTTTGTTTGCAGAACTCCCTAAGCTCTCTCTGGCACAGAGGGATGATCTGGACATTCCCCTGTTGTCCCATGAACTGGCAGAGACCGTAACCCAGATGTCCCCCAGCCGTGCCCCGGGGGTCGATGGACTCCCAGTGGAGTTTTATAAAAAGAATTCTGGGGAATAATTTGACTAGACTTCTTTTGCGTGGGCGGCTCTGACTCTCCTGCCCAAAGAAAGGGGACTTGTGTGAACTTAAGAACTGAAGGCCTGTGGCATTGCTCATTGCGGACTACAAGATATTTGCCAAGGTCCTCGCTAACAGACTGAAGTCCCATCTGGACTCTATGCACACAAGGACCAGACTATTGTGTACCGGGCCGCTCAATCACGGACAACTTGGTCTTAATCAGGGACAGTTGGCTTGTCGAGAGTTTCTAATGTGAACTTTGGATGGTCTCTTAGACCAAGAGAAGGCTTTGATAGAGTGGACCATGAGTATCTGTTGAATGTGATGTTTTGGGTTTGGGGGAAATTATTTTGGCCTGTGTGAAGATGTATGCGGGGCCATGTTGGTAAAGGGTGGGAGGGGGGCTAGTAGGACAGTCTGGTTGGGGCGGGAAATTAGACAAGGATGCTCTCTATGGGGGCCCAGTTATATACACTATTTGGGTTGGGGCCTGCTACGCAGGAGACGGGCGGGGAGTGTGCTGGACAGACATGGGTGGCTGGACAGGAAGCAGTGCCCGGTATGAGATTACGTTTCTGTGATGGTCAGGATGGGCAGGATATGCAGGCACTAGAGACTAGTCTGAAGGTGTAGAGGGCTTCGTCAGCTAAGGAAACTGGGGCAAACAAAGCTCTGTTATGTGGGACATGGAGGGATAGGGCCCCACCTCTGCTTCCAGGGGGTTTGCAGTGGGGTTGTGAAGGGCTTAACTTTTTTGGGGGTGTATTTGGGCTCGGAGAGGTGGGTCAGGAAGAACTCTGAGGTGCCCTGTTCAAAAAGGGGGGGCCCCAGTGGGGGGTGTCAAGAAAACTGGCCCCATGTGGAGAGGGGGGGCTCCTGGTCCCAAGTTGTCATAAAAGAGGGAAGGGGGGGCTGAGAATTCAAAAACACCGGTGTGGCATCTTCTTTTCCCTTTTGGTGGGGGGGGAAATTTAAAAACGGGGGGGGGGGCTTGGGTTCACCCCAGACTGGGGGCCGCATCGCGACGGGGAAGACGGCGGTTGGTGGACTCTTTCCCGGGGGCGGGGCCACATGGGTTTGAGGGGCGGCATTGTTGGAATAATGTCCAACTAAAGGAAACATCCCTGGTGGGAACTGGGGGGGGTTTGGCTGGCATTCCGACTAAGGGACCAGCCGCGCTGTAAAGACTGTTTGGGTTTGGCTGGGGAGGGGGAAACCAGATGCGGCTGTTTGGGAGAGCTGGCGGATTAGGGTTGGACTGGCAGCTGTTCCCAGGGGGGCACTGCTGAGTCGGTAAACGGGGGGGTGTTTGAGCGGCCAAAGGGGGAGGGGCCACCAATGTTTCCACCACTGCAGGTGACGGCAGAGACTGGGGACTGGCAAGGGGTCTGGAGGACTTTAGATTTTAACACTCCGAGCCTGGGGGAGTTTGAGGGGGTGGCAGGTAAAGCCCTCTACAACCTCTGCATTAAGGTGAGGAACATTAGGAGCCTAACAGGAGTGAAGGCACATCATTGGCAGAGGGTATGTGGGCCGGAGAGTATGGAGGGGGCTCTACAAACTCCCAGTACCAAAGAGGTCAGGGGACCTCCAGCGGAGGGTTCTACATGGAGCCCTGGCCACTAACAGCTGGTTGGCACGGGTTGAACCTTTCTGTCTTTTTGTCCTTTCTGTGTCATGAGTGAAACTGTGCACCATGTATTTTCTGTGTGCGCCAGGTTAATGCCATTAATGTCTCAGTTGGAATGTCTGTGTGAGAGGTTGGGGGTGGAGTTTACTGTCGGGAGGTTTATAATGGGGTACAGGTATTCAAATAAGGAAAAGGACAAATGTGTGTTGTTGAATTTTCTGTTTGCTTAGGCAAAGTTGGCTATTTGGCTAACAAGGTGGAACAGGGTCAAAGGTGGGGGGATAACAGACCCTTTACTATTATTTAATGGGATGGTCTCTGCGCGCCTTAGGGTGGAATTTGAGTTCTATAAAATGATAAACAGTGTGGAGATGTTTCAGGAGATATGGTGTGTTGGGGGGGCTGTCTGTACAGCTGGGGAAGATGGGTTGGATATACGGTTGTAGAAGTGGTAAGGTTTGGGTCATTGTGATGTGTGGTGTTGTTTTGTATCGTGGGGTAGAGGGCAAGGTGAGCATGCAGTACAGGGGATATTTGTTTTTTAAAGGGGGGTGGGGGGGTTAATGAATTGAGGATGTATCACTAAAGAAAGACAAAAAGTCAAAAGTCTCTCTCTCTTTCTCTCTCCCCTCTATTTCTCTCTCCCCTCTCTTTCTCCCTCTCTCGCTCTCTCTTCCATCTCTTTCTTTCTCCCCCCTCTCTCTCTCGCTCTCCCATCTCTTTATCTCCCCCCTCTCTATTTCTCTCTATTTCTCTCTCCCCGCTCTCTCTCTCTTTCTCTCTCTCCAGACATCTATATTCACCCCATCCTATGGAACATCCACTAATGTCCGCATCAACAGCAAAATGACAACACATCAGGTCATATCACAGCTCCTTCAGAAATTCAAGGTGAATTGTATCAAATTACCAGTTCATTAATAACAATATGCTAGAATATATTTGAAAAATGCAAAGGTAATAATTTAACTACAAACTGTATTGTACTGTTGTTAGATCACTTGAGGGAAGGCTTCTGGTTTGGATCCATTACCGGTGTGTTTCCACTTTGTGTTGCAGATAGAGAATGATCCTAATGAGTTCGCCCTCTACTGTGTTCATCAAAGCGGAGGTACGTTGTATCATTCTCTTTCATAACACCACTGATGCTGCAGTTAGGTTCTCCAGGGTTAGGGTTCTCCAGGGTTAGGGTTCTCGAGGGTTCTCCAGGGATAGGGTTCTCCACAGTTAGGGTTCTCCATGTTGGTCTCCAGGTTCACCAGGTTAGGATCTCCACGGGTTTGGGTTTTTCCACGGTTAGGGTTCTCCAGGGTTCTCCAGGGATAGGGTTAATAGTGTATGTCTGTTTCCTCCTATAGAGAAGAAGAAGCTGTCTGATTCAGACCTGCCACTGTGGGAGAGGGTTCTCCAGGGCCCAGCGGAGAACATCATGAAGATGTTCCTCATGGACAGAGATGAAGATGAAGTCAGCAACGATGTGAGTGTCTTTCTTCAGCAGGGTTTTGGGGCCAGAATGAGTTTTGGACACTAACCACACACTTCAGTTTGATAACCAGTGTGCTAACTCTTGGCTATGACTGGCTCCGCTCTCTGCCCAGGTGGCCCAGTACCTAAACCTGGAGCTGCCCATCCTGGAGGGGGTTCTAGTGAAGCTGAAGGACGAGGAGAAAACATGAGGTGCGAAATCACACTTGAGTTATGAAGAAGTTCCAGTAGCCTAACTTTTACCGGAAGTAGGGGAAACAGAGAGAGGATTGCTTGGTTCCCCCTTCCGTGGTGTAACGATGGTTAAACATGCGCTGTAGTCACTGTTCCATCTGGAATCTAAACCGTACCGTGTTTACTTTGTCACCTGTAGCTAAACAATATGTGTTTTTCCTTGTGTCCTAAACAGTGATGTGTTGTTCCCTTGGTCACTAAACAGTGGTTGTTGTTTTTGTCCTTGTGTCCACTAACATGTGATGTGTTCCCTTGTGTCACTAAACAGTGATGTGTTGTCCTTGGCACAAACATGATGTGTTGTCCTTTGGGGTCACCGTAGCTAAACAAGATGTGTTCTCCTTGTGTCACTAAACAGTGATGTGTTCTCCTTGTGTCCCCTAAACAGTGATGTGTTTTTCCTTGTGTCACTAAAACAGTGATGTGTTGTCCTTGTGTCACCTGTAGCTAAACAAAGATGTGTTCTCCTTGTGTCACTAAACAGTGATGTGTTGTCCTTGTGTCACTAAACAGTGATGTGTTGTCCTTGTGTCACCTGTAGCTAAACAGGATGTGTTGTCCTTGTGTCACTAAACAGTGATGTGTTGTCCTTGTGTCACCTGTAGCTAAACAGTGATGTGTTGTCCTTGTGTCACTAAACAGTGATGTGTTGTCCTTGTGTCACCTGTAGCTAAACAGTAATGTGTTGTCGTTGTGTCGCCTGTAGCTAAAGAGTGATGTGTTGTCCCTGGTCACTAAACGAGGTGGTCCTCGGTCCTCAGTGGTAGCAGAGCACTGCCTTGTAACGCCAGTATGGGTTGATCCCCGGGACCACCCAACAAAAATGTGCACTCATGACTGTAAGTCGCTTGTGTGATAAAGCGTCTTGCTAAATGGCATATTTGATTATTATAAACTGTGTGTTATCGATTGTTTTCTACTAAACAGTGATGTGTTGTCCATTGTGTCACTGAACAGTGATGTATTGTCCTTGTGTCACTAAACAGGGATGTGTTGTCCTTGTGTCACTAAACAGTGATGTGTTGTCCTTGTGTCACTAAACAGGATGTGTTTTGTTCCTTGTTGCCACTAAACGAGGATGTGTTGTCCTTGTGTCACCTGTAGCTAAACAGTGATGTGTTGTCCTTGTGTCACTAAACAAGGATGTGTTGTCCTTGTGTCACTAAACAGTGATGTGTTGTCCTTGTGTCAACTGTAGCTAAACAGTGATGTGTTGTCCTTGTGTCACTAAACAGTGATGTGTTGTCCTTGTGTCACTAAACAGGGATATGTTGTCCTTGTGTCACCTGTAGCTAAACAGTAATGTGTTGTCCTTGTGTCACTAAACAGTGATGTGTTGTCCTTGTGTCACCTGTAGCTAAACAGTGATGTGTTGTCCTTGTGTCCCCTGTAGCTAAACAGTGATGTGTTGTCCTTGTGTCCCCTGTAGATAAACAGTGATGTGTTGTCCTTGTGTCGCCTGTAGCTAAACAGTGATGTGTTGTCCTTGTGTCACTAAACAGTGATGTGTTGTCCTTGTGTCACTAAACAGTGATGTGTTGTCCTTGTGTCACTGAACAGTGATGTATTGTCCTTGTGTCACTAAACAGGGATGTGTTGTCCTTGTGTCACTAAACAGTGATGTGTTGTCCTTGTGTCACTAAACAGGGATGTGTTGTCCTTGTGCCACTAAACAGGGATGTGTTGTCCCTTGTGTGCACCTGTAGGCTAAACATGATGGTTTTCTTGTGCCAAACAAGGATGTGTTGTCCTTGTGTCACTAAACAGTGATGTGTTGTCCTTGTGTCAACTGTAGCTAAACAGTGATGTGTTGTCATTGTGTCACTAAACAGTGATGTGTTGTCCTTGTGTCACTAAACAGGGATGTGTTGTACTTGTGTCACCTGTAGCTAAACCGTGATGTGTTGTTCCGTTGTTGTCACCTGTAGCTAACCTGATTGTGTTGTCCTTGTGTCCACTTTAGCTAAACAGTGATGTGTTGTCCTTCTGTCACCTGTAGCTAAACCGTGATGTGTTGTCCTTGTGTCACTAAACAGTGATGTGTTGTCCTTGTGTCACTAAACAGGGATGTGTTGTCCTTGTGTCACCTGTAGCTAAACAGTGATGTGTTGTCCTTGTGTCACTAAACATTATGTTTGTTTCCCTTTTGTCCTAAACAGTGATTGTTTGTCCTTGTGTCCCCTGTAGCTAAACAGTGATGTGTTGTCCTTGTGTCATCTGTAGCTAAACAGTGATGTGTTGAACTTGTGTCACCTGTAGCTAAAAAGTGATGTGTTGTCCTTGTGTCACCTGTAGCTAAACAGTGATGTGTTGTCCTTGTGTAACCTGTAGCTAAACAGTGATGTGCTGTTTTTGTGTCACCTGTAGCTAAACAGTGATGTGTTGTCATTGTGTCACCTGTAGCTAAACAGTGATGTGTTGTCCTTGTGTCCCCTTAGCTAAACAGTGATGTGTTGTCCTTGTGTCACCTGTAGCTAAACAGTGATGTGTTGTCCTTGTGTCACTAAACAGTGATGTGTTGTCCTCATGTCACTAAACAGGGATGTGTTGTCCTTGTGTCGCCTGTAGCTAAACAGTGATGTGTTGTCCTTGTGTCACTAAACAGTTATGTGTTGTCCTTGTGTCACTAAACAGTGATGTGTTGTCCTTGTGTCGCCTGTAGCTAAACAGGATGTGTTGTCCTTGTGTCCCCTTAGCTAAACAGTGATGTGTTGTCCTTGTGTCGCCTGTAGCTAACAAGTGATGTGTTGTCCTTGTGTCGCCTGTAGCTAAACAGTGATTTGTTGTCCTTGTGTCGCCTGTAGCTAAACAGGGATGTGTTGTCCTTGTGTCACCTGTAGCTAAACAGTGATGTGTTGTGCTTGTGTCACCTGTAGCTAAACAGTGATGTGCTGTTTTTGTGTCACCTGTAGCTAAACAGTGATGTGTTGTCCTTGTGTCACTAAACAGTGATGTGTTGTCCTTGTGTCACTAAACAGGGATGTGTTGTCCTTGTGTCGCCTATAGCTAAACAGTGAGGTGTTGTCCTTGTGTCGCCTATAGCTAAACAGTGATGTGTTGTCCTTGTGTCCCCTGTAGCTGAACAGTAATGTGTTGTCATTGTGTCACTAAACAGTTATGTGTTGTCCTTGTGTCACCTGTAGCTAAACAGTGATGTGTTGTCCTTGTGTCCCCTGTAGCTAAAGAGTGATGTGTTGTCCTTGTGTTACCTGTAGCTAAACAGTGATGTGCTGTTTTTGTGTCCCCTGTAGCTAAACAGTGATGTGTTGTCCTTGTGTCGCCTGTAGCTAAACATGGATGTGTTGTCCTTTGTGTCACCTGTAGCTAAACAGGATGTGTTGTCCTTGTGTCCCTGTAGCTAACAGTGATGTGTTTGTCCTTGTGTAACCTACTAAACAGTGATGGTGCTGTTTTTGTGTCACTGTAGCTAAACATTGATGTGTTGTCATTGTGTCACTAAACAGTTATGTGTTGTCCTTGTGTCACCTGTAGCTAAACAGTGATGTGTTGTCCTTGTGTCCCCTGTAGCTAAAGAGTGATGTGTTGTCCTTGTGTTACCTGTAGCTAAACAGTGATGTGCTGTTTTTGTGTCCCCTGTAGCTAAACAGTGATGTGTTGTCCTTGTGTCGCCTGTAGCTAAACATGGATGTGTTGTCCTTGTGTCACCTGTAGCTAAACAGGGATGTGTTGTCCTTGTGTCCCCTGTAGCTAAACAGTGATGTGTTGTCCTTGTGTAACCTGTAGCTAAACAGTGATGTGCTGTTTTTGTGTCACCTGTAGCTAAACAGTGGTGTGTTGTCCTTGTGTCACTAAACAGTGGTGTGTTGTCATTGTGTCACCTGTAGCTAAACAGTGATGTGTTGTCCTTGTGTCCCCTGTAGCTGAACAGTGATGTGTTGTCCTTGTGTCACTAAACAGTGATGTGTTGTCTTTGTGTCCCCTGTAGCTAAACAGTGATGTGTTGTCCTTGTGTCACGTGTAGCTAAACAGTGATGTGCTGTTTTTGTGTTCCCTGTAGCTAAAGAGAGATGTGTTGTCCTTGTGTCACCTGTAGCTAAACAGTGATGTGTTGTCCTTGTGTCAATAAACAGTGATGTGTTGTCCTTGTGTCACTAAACAGTTATGTGTTGTCCTTGTGTCACCTGTAGCTAAACAGGGATGTGTTGTCCTTGTTTCACCTGTAGCTAAACAGTGATGTGTTGTCTTGTGGGCGCCTGTAGCAAACAGTTATGTGTTGTCCTTGTGTCCCCTGTAGCTAAACAGGTTGATGTTGTGTTTTTGGTGTCCCTGTAGCTAGGAGCTAACATGAATGTGTTGTCCTTGTGTCCACTGTAGCTAAAACAGTTGATGTGTTGACATTGTGTCCCCTCCCGTACTAACATGATGTGTTGTCCTTGTGTCCCCTGTAGCTAGCAGTGATGTGGTTGTCTTGTGTCCCCTGTAGCTAACAGTGATGTGTTGTCCTTGTGTCCACTAAACAGTGATTGTTGTCCGTTGTCCTAAACAGGGATGTGTTGTCTTGTGTTCCCTGTAGCTAAACAGTGTGTGTTGTCCTTGTGTCCCCTGTAGCTAAACAGGATTTGTGTCCTTGTGTCACTAAACAGTGAGTGTTTCCTTGTGCACCTGTAGCTAAAGAGTGATGTGTTGTCCTTGTGTCCATGTAGCTTTTACCAGTATGTGGTTGGTCCTTGTGTCACAAACAGTGGTGTGTTGTCCTTGTGTCACTGAAACAGCTATGTGTTTGTCCTTGTGCACCTGTAGCCTAACAGGGATGTGTTTTTCCTTGTGTCACCCTGTAGCTAAACAGTGATGTGTTGTCCCCTTTTGTCCCCTGTAGCTAAGAGTGATGTGTTGTCTTGTGGTTTCCCCTGTAGCTAAACAGTGATGTGTTGTCCTTGTGTACGCTAAACAGTGATGTGTTTGCTGTGTTCCCTGTAGCCTAAACAGTGATGTGTTG